TCAGCCGCTTTCCAAAGATGCCGCACGCTGGGATCCCCAACATCCAGTCTGATAACATCAGGAAGTCTCCTTCCTCACAAATCGGCCATTGTGAGATTTGAACCTAGGTCTCAAGGTCAGAATACAAGTGTTCTAACCACTCGGTCACGTGTCCATAATACTAAAACTTCCTCATAATCTAATTCTTAGAGTACTGACTTTCTCAGAGAAATTTAGGGGGAGAGAAATACACTAGTATGCATGTAAATATAGCTTGAAAGAAAGAAGACATTACAATTTTAGATGCACATGTGTGTGTGTGTGTGTGTGTGTGTGTGTGTAAAGTGTTCTGTCGGAGGACAGATATCCCCATATTGGGAACAAATCCTATGATGGTGTTACTTCTACAGCATGGAAGGTGTAAAAGAGAAAAAAGAGAAAGAAGACAGGAACTGTCCCATTTTTATAGCTGCTTAACAGAATCACCTTATTAAACCAAGTGGGGGTAACTCAAATTCTCAATGAAAATTGCTAACTTTTTATTAAATTTTATATAGGTTATTAGAGTAGTTCAATTTGCTATGTAAACAAAATTTGCAAATACTACATGATTTCTTAAATTGTGAAAAAAAAAAAAAATGAAATTTGATATTTGTAATCTGGACTTTTTTATAATGGCTTACAAATTACAAATTTAAAGAAGAATTTTATTAAGTCTTTAAGTAAACACACATACACACACACACACACACACACACACACACACACACACACATATATATATATATATATATATATATATATATGAGTTTAAAAATCAGGTGGTTAATTAAAATATGCAACCATGGTTTCGACCTGACAGCCTCTTCTGGTGATACTTTTAAAATGACCACTTTAATGCTTTACTTCGAAAAACCAAAAAGAATGTTACATAATTATCTTTCAAAAAATATAATGAGGAGCATGATGACTGAATGACAGGACATTGGGTGTGGCAGGAAGGGAAGGGGCAAAGGCGGGTGAAGGAAAGAAAAGAATGGAAAGGAACTAAAATGCAAGTGTATTGTAAATGTATGCAGTAAAAAGGGAAATCAAATATGTAACTTAATTGTTATGAAGGATGCGGGGTGGGACCATATCTAAAGGGTGACAGTGTTTTTTTTTCATTCTTTTAGATTGGTTGCATATTTTAATTGACCTTCTAATATTTAAACATGTTTATGTTTGACACGAAGGCTCACACTACACCTTTCTGACCATAGCTCAATTAGGTTTCATTTAAATACTCATGGAGACCTAGCGGACAATATTCATAACATACTTGTTGACAACACAAATATAATAGCATCAACTACATACAAAAAAAGGCTAAAAATAATGGAAGCCTTATTAATAAAAACAAAAAACAACACTCAATAACATCATCTGTGAACATGGACACAATATCTTGACTGTGTTTTGAAAGTGAAAACATTATATAAATACATACAACAAACTATTTCTTGTTAACAGTTAATATATTTCAACTTTGAAAATGGCTAAATGTATAGCCGAAAGCGCTTGGATAAAAAGAACAGTGGGACAGTTTTATCTAATTTATCATTCAAAAAGAAAACAATTATTAGATCACATGAGAAATTGTATAAAAAACTAAATCAAAGCATCTTGTCTGTCATGTTCAATGAAATGTGTATAAAAAAAGAATTGCTGCCTAAATACATAAATGTTATATACATAAAGGGTGTTGCAATAACTTGGACCGATTTTAAATGTGAATTAAGTTTAAGCGTCTTATGATTTTTTTTCTTTTTCTTTCAGATTTAACAGTTTAAGTCTTTGGCAATTTCGGCCATTGGAAGATTAACAATCAAACAATGTGTTAAAGTTTCAAGAGTGCAAATGGAAAAATTGTTCTTAAATTCAAATAAACTGAGTCGATGGCAGATAGGAAGACACCATTGTGTGCTTGTTTACACTGTTCAGTTGAAAACATTGCTGCAGTGCACGAGAATGTGGCCGAAAATCCAGACCCCTCGGTTCTTCATTAGGCGCAGTATTTAAACCTCTCCACAACAATATTACATCATTTCCAACTGCATTCTCGGGTGGTTGGTTATGCTGAGTAAAACAATCGCGAAGTGCACGAAATGTTTGAGCATCCATTTTCCTAATAGGATTTGATAACTTTAACACGTTGTTTGATTGTTAATCTTTCCATAGTTAAAATTGTCAGAACATACTTTATATATATATATATATATATATATATATATATATATATATATATATATATAATTATAGATAACTAGACTCGTTTGAAAAACCCTCGAATTTTTTTGATTTGCTAATAATCAAATCAATCTCGAGGGAAAAAAAGTTTAAAAAAAGAAAGAGCTACAAACGTGAACTTCTGTCGACAAAAAAATATCGCACAGATACAGGTCTGAAGCCCCCCCCCCCCAAAAAAAAAACCCGACACGAGTAAACAACTAACTAACAAAAGCGCTCAATACAATCGTAGAGCAGACCTTGATGTTGTTTTTTTGTTTGTTTTTTTTTTCCCTCCCCATTTTTGTTGAATAAATATTTAACTTAGGTTTGTTTGTGGTTCTTTGGTCACGCCTATAATATGCGTTTCTCTTTGCCTCGTCAGCCTTACTTTCCCTGACGATCCGTTTAGGTGCAACCTAGGTAGATTTGTCTGGCTCCATAGATCTATCTATCTATCTATCTATCTATCTATCTATCTATCTATCTATCTATCTATCTCTCTCTCTCTCTCTATATATATATATATATATATATATAAACCAATTTCTGCCTTCTAGCAGTATGGCTGACGCTAAGCTCTGAGAGAATGACTCATTGCTCCTTTTCAGGTTAACATTCTCGGCTGACATGAAATGAAAAGACTACATTGAATTTATTGCTGCTTCATAGTAGTAGACAATTTTTCTCTCCATCGTTTATCTTACCTATTTGTAAGTCTACCATTTACCCATGCTTAGAATATTGCTGGCACACAGTCTGGTGCTTCTGCTATGTATTTAGAGATTCCTGATAAAATCCAAAGAATAATCAGCAATATTCTTGCTCCTGACTTGTCATCCTGGCTTCAGTCACTTTCCCACTGTAGTAACATTGCTTCCCTGTGCATTTTATGTAAATACTTTCATGGTAATTGTTCAGATTAGCTCTTCACTATGGTACCTAGACTTTATGAATTAAAGCATAATAATAGATTTTCCGTTGAAATGGCTAGAAGTGACCATCAGGTTTATGCTAACAGTTTCTTCTCTCACACGTCTCATTTCTAGAACTCTCTTAAGGCTCCATTTTTTCCAACTTTGATCTTCAAAAATTTTAATGTAATGTCATTTATTATCTCCTGCCTTCTTGATTACCCTTCGATTGTTCACTTCATAATATTTTTCTTTTTCTTATTCTTTTGTAGCTTCTTTGTGACTTAGTGACTTCAGTGCTTTGCCTGGCGTAAAATAAATGGAGGAAAATGCCTGCAATGACTGGAGGTGACATTCAACCTTACGGGCATGAAAAATAGTGATGAACTAGATTGATTCTTGAAAATGACTGATTGAAACTCTTTGAATAAAAGAATGATTCTAATTTCAGTGATAATTTTGATCTTCAAAAATTTAAATTTGATTTCCATCATTACCTTCTGAATTCTTGTTCTTTTACTGTTTTGTCTCCTTAATAGTGTTTTTCATTTTTTTCATATATTTTCTAACACTCAGTAACCCCCCTTCCATCTTAGTGGCTTTATTGCTTTGCTTGGGTTGAAATAATTAAAAAAAATCAAATAAAGATCAAAGAAAGAGATTGAAAAAAGAATGAATCAAGAAGGAAGGAAATTAATGAAAATAGGAATAGATGAAATGAGAGAAAACGCAAACATTTTCCACCCTCCAACCTTTCTCTCACAGGTGAGATATGGCAAGTCTCTCACGGCTCTGAAGCTACAGCCATGGAAAGTTGTCAGATGAACTATATTTTCTGGTTCCACCAGGCCTGACCTTCACGGTGGTTCTTTGGTCCTGACATGACACTTAAATTGTAGCAAACCACCGACATTCCCTCTGCATTATCTTGGCGAGAAGTAAGCTCTACTCAAACATTTTTTCCCGCCCTATGCAACAGACTCCCAAGAGGATGTTTACTCGATCACTGCAATATTAACCTGTTCAAGTCTAGAATGAACCGTTATCTTCCTCTCCTATCCATATAAACTACCCACTGATGTAACCCTCTACCTCGATCGGCCCCCAGACCTTGTAAAGAATGAACTTTACTGTAAAAAAAAACAACAAAAAACAAACAAACAAAAAACAAAAAAAAAAAATGTAAAACAAAATGTACGAAAGAGAACAAGAAAAATAAAAGACAAAGCATGAGAATTTTATTTCATTCGGAAAAAGAAAGAAAAGACAAATTAACTGAATGAAAATAAGGAAAGAATATAACATGGAGAGTAGTGGTGGTGGTGGTGGCAGCAGCCATTTTTAAATTTTTGGTATCTGTCAATTCATAGTTTCAGAAGCAATGGCTGATATCTGTGGCTTCTGTCAGTGCCTGTCACGGTCATAGTATTCCCAAATAGAATCCATTTCGCGAGGAAAACTCATCAGAAGAGATCCAGGGAACTAAAAAGACTAGTAGAAAGCTTTTGCAGACAGAACTCAGAAGGAGAGGGCATTGGAAGTGCTTTCTTTTTCTTTCTTTTTCTCTCTTATTTTGTAAGATTCGACCTACTTGTCAAAATACGTTAGAAAAATACAGGGCTTCCAAAATGGATTGCAAACTAAGCAGACGAGGAATTCCGCGGAGTTTTATTTTTATTTATTTAGTTTAATTCCCTGTCATGCATTTTTTTTTGTTTTTGTCAAGGTCTTGCTTTCCTGAATAGTCTAACATTATCTTTTCCTTTGTCATTTTAACTTTTCATAATTCTTTCTTTTTATATTTTCTTCCATAAAATAAGTGTTCTATACATGTATGGGTTAAAAGGTCGGAGGGAGACAGAGAGGTAAAGGAAAGAATGAGAGAGGGAAAGAAAGATGGAATGAATGGATAGAAAAGAGAAGAGAAGGATATAGAGGAGAGAGACTGAGGGAAAGTGGTTGGAAGAGGAGGAGAGAAAAGAAAGTAGGAATGTAAAGGAAGTGAACTGGTAAGAGAGGGTGTGATCGAGTAGAAGTAAAAAAAAAGAGATAGAGAAAGAATGAGATGATAGAAGAGGATACGGGGGACAGAAACGGAGGGGAAATAGGAGAAAGATAGAAAGAGAGAGATTGAGTGGTGAGTAGGGGTGAGAAAGAGAATGAGGAGAGATAGTAAGAGTGAGAGAGGGAAAATGAAGACAGAGAAAAGAGGGTAAAAGTGAGAACAAGAGAAGATGAGTAAGTATAGGGGGAGACTGAGGGAGGCGAATCACAAGAAAAGAGGGATACTGGGGGAGGGAGAAGGAGAGAAAACGAAGCGGAACAAAAGAGAGGGGTTGAACAGGGTGGGAAATCAAGAGAAAGAGAGAGAGAGAGAGAGAGAGAAGTGAAGAGGAAGCAGAGATTGGGAGAGGGAGACAGAGGGAAGTCTAGGGAGAGAGAATAAGATGAAGAAGGGCAGATATGAAAAGAGAGAGAGAGAGCAGTAGAGAGAAAAAAAGGGTAGAGAAAGAAGGAAGGAGGTTAAGGAGTGAGTACGTGAGAGTCATTATAAAGATTTCGTATATATATATATATATTTATATATATATATATATATATATATATATATATATATATATATATGTGTGTGTGTGTGTGTGAAAATATATAGAAAATAGGAAAGAACTCGTTAGGTAAATAACCCAAAGTTCTTATATTTTTTTGTTATTATTCTTTAAAAAATAGTGCTCGATACAACATGAAGATGGAACAGAGTTCGGCTCTTGTTTTGAAACATGAGACCTCTTATGTAGCGTTTTTGGAATCATATTTTTAAATTTAATATATATATATATATATATATATATATATATATATATATATATATATATATATACAGGTAATAATACATTGGTATATAATCCAAGTGAATCCTAATAATTACAACCAAATTTTGGTCTGTAGATTGCAATTGAGGCTGTCTATATCTCCAATGTAGCAAATTTTAAACAATATCTATATATATATATATATATATATATATATATATATATATATATATATATATATATTAAGAAATGGACAAAGTCCGACAATTTATTTATTAAAAAACATTTTATGTTTAACGTTGTTTTTTATAGATACAAGTATTTAAGTAAATGCTCTCTTTATAATAAACAGTATTAAATAACATTTACCGGCCTGAATGTCCGAGAAATTTTCATAGAAAATATTTGTCTTTTGACAGGATTCGAACCTGCATCCTATACGGAACCGTCATTTTGTATCTATTTTGAAACATGAGACCTCTCATGTAGCGTGTTGGAATCATATTTTTAAATAAATATTATATATATATATATATATATATATATATATATATATATATATATATATATATATATATATATATATATACAGGTAATAATACATTGGTATATAATCCAAGTGAATCCTAATAATTACAACCAAATTTTGGTCTGTAGATTGCACCGAGGCTGTCTATATCTCCAATGTAGCAAATTTTACATAATATCTGTATATATATTTTCTGTATACATATATATATATATATATATATGTGTGTGTGTGTGTGTGTGTGTGTGTGTGTGTGTGTGTGTGTGTGTGTTTGTGTGAATTATCAGTCAGGACAAACTTGCATTGGGGGTCGTCATTCTCTCTTCTTATTCCCTATTTCCCCTGTGATGGCGTAGGTGCATATGCCTGTGAAGGCCCAGCCTACTCCTAAAGAGTTTCGAGCAGGAGTCACAAAAGAGTGTTGGGTGGTATATGTGGATGGGCGAGTTGTGCCTTCCTGACAGCCAGTCGCAGATCCTCTTCATTTTGACGGTTGTCCTCGAAAAAATTTACCCACCTCAGATGGTTCTATGCCAGGATGGTCAATTTGCTGCAACGATTTCCCAGGTCAATGTTGGCCTGTGTCGAATCCTTGAAGTGTTGTTTTGGGCATTCTGGACACGTGACCTCTCCAGCAGAGGCAATGCTGAAGAATGGTAGCCTCAATGCTGGGGAGAGATGTCCGAGAGAAGACCTTGTTGCTGGTGATGTGGTCCTCCCATCTGTTGTGAAGGATTCTTCAGAGCTTTGTTTTCTGGATATATATATATATATATATATATATATATATATATATATATATATATATATATATATGACGATATAAACGTCCCGGAAAATTTAATTCCAGTCGAGCACTCTGGAGAGAAAGCGCGAATTTTTAACCAATGACTACTACTGCTAATACTGCAAAGCTCTTCTATGAATTGAGCCCTCTCTGTCATTGCCTTGTCTATTTGAAGAATAGGTACGTTGAAATTTGCACTCCTCTCTACTAGTCAACTGATAGCTCAAGGGTAAAATCAGTCAAGTTTCGATCCCAGCTTGAAGCAATTGGATGACTGAGGAACTGTGATGCAGCAAAACAGTCTGTCTGTGGATGATATATATATATATATATATATATATATATATATCTGCATTTATTTATATATATATATCTGCATTTATTTTTATATATATATATATATATATATATATATATATATGCATTTATATATATATATATATATATATATATATATATATATATATATATATGCATTTTTTCATGCTTATACGTTTTTTTTATAGATACAAAATGCTCTGTTTATAATAAATAGTATTAACGACATTTAACTTGGTCACAAACGCACCTGAATCCAACTATATATATATATATATATATATATATATATATATATATATATATATATATATGTGTGTATGTATATATATATATATATATATATATGTTCTAGGACATTTTTTCCGGACAATTGCATCAATGGACATTTGCGTCCCCGGGTAATTTCGTATCTATGATAATTTTTTGAAGGTTTTTAAGGCAATTACCATAAATTTTGAAAAAGGCAGAGGCAGTAATAATAAATTTTTAAATAAAGAAAGAAAGGAATAAAATTAAAAAAAAATAAAAGTTTATTTTTATTTAAAATACAATGACAGATTACCAGTGTTTCAAGATCGCTCTATACATCGCCAGTATGTTTTTGTTTCATCGGCGTTTTTCATATGATAGAATTAGCTGCAATTTTCCTCGTCCACAAATATTTTTCCACCAGTGTTTGATTTTCGGAACTTTACCAAATAAAAATATAATCAATAAAATCCAGAATCTATTAGACTTTTGCAGTACGCACTGCTGGAGAGAACTGAAACTGCTAGTTTAATTTTCTCTTGCTTTAAAAAAGAAAGTTTTCTCTCTTTTTTTATTTATGGTAGCTATCTTTCTGCTTGTTTAGAGTAATTAAAGGTATTGGTGTGCAAATTTCTATATTAAACAACTCTTAAAAAATGGTAACTTCAAAAAATATCGGAGGTATGCAATTAGCCAGGGACGCATTTGTCTACGGGCAAAAATGCCCAGGGACGCAATTGTCTGGTACGCAATTGTTCAGTACGCAACTAGTGCAAATATACTACAACTCTTCTTGGGCATCTCGAGGCGGGGTAATGGTTAACAAGTTTGTCTCGCTAGAACAATTACGACTGAGTAGTGAGTTCGATCCTCACTGGGTGCCCCCATACTTTCGGCCTTGTGCCACATCTAAGGTACGCTTGGAAAATCGTTACTACAACTCTTTTCTTTCTAGGTCCAGTATCCTTTCAGCACGTGGACGATCGTAGCTCTCCACTACTTCCTATCCTTTGTAGCGTTTGTCTTTTCAGTATCCATCCCAGTCCTTGTTCTGCTATGCGTTTAAGTAACCATGTTTAGTAAGTAATTAGCTGTTTCCCTCTGACCCATTTTCAGTCAATATGCCTTGTGAGCGTCAAATTTTGAAGCCTCCTTTTCTCATTGCCTAAATGTTTCTTCATTGCTTATGCATTTCGTCAATGGTATTGTCAGAATTCTTCCATAGAAAGAAATTCCTCTCCAATGCTTCAAATCTTCTGCTAATTCCTGCTAACAGATTCATCAGTGATATCACGAGTATGATTTGTTTAAATATCCATCATCTTTTGTGTGCCAAATACCCTCAGGATGTTGGCGATCATGGTTCTTTCCAATTTCCTCTTTTCAGTAACTCATAATAAAATTAACTTTCGGTTATCTGCCCTGTTCTGCCATCCATTTACTCGCTCTGTAGGTCATGCGTTGTTTTCCTATCTTCCTCTTGACTTCAATCTGTCCTGTGAGTATCAAAATTTCCAAGCCTTCTTTTATCGTTATGTGCCCGAGAACTTTCAACTCACTCTTTCTGATGTTAAGTATAAGTATCCTTTTTTTTGCTTCCATTTTCTCTTAAACTTTATTGGTGTTCACATATTCAGTTAAGGGTATTCTCATCATCCCTCTGTACAACTATATTTCAATTGCTTCAAGTCTCTTCTTCATCTGTGAGGTGATTGTGGAGCCCTCACTACCATATAGAAAGGCTGATATTACATAACAGTTCAGTAATCTCTTTCTTCATAACAAATTTTTCTGCTTCTTCATACTTTGCTTAGCATTAGGAAGGTATATTTCTCTTTCCCAATGTGTCCTCGGATTTCAGTGTCGCACATTGAGTCCTTTGTTAAAACACATTCCCATATATTTCATAATTCGACAGGTGCATGCATATGTAGAAGGAAACTGGGGACATTTTGAACACTTGTGTTGATTTGTTGAAGTCCAACACTTTTGGACATATGTTTATATGGACATTTTACCTTGTTTTCGTGTCAGAAAAACGCTCCCAATGTTTGTGAAAGTATTTTTTGATACACCTTATATATATATATATATATATATATATATATATATATATATATATATAAGAATGTTAAACATAAAAATGTCTTAATATATATTAAGACATTTTTTATGTTTAACATTATTTTTATAGATACAAATATTTAAGTAAATGCTCTGTTTATAATAAACAGTATTAAAGTATCTTGGCCTGTCCGAGAAATTTTCATAGAAAATATTCGTCCTCCGACAGGATCCGAACCTGTATCCTATACGGATATATATATATATATATATATATATATATATATATATATAATTGCAACCACTTCCAAAACATGGTTATGGTCAGAACTAAAAGAACCTATACCAATAATTCAGAAGCTGGCATATATAGAATAAATTTCCAAAACTGTTCCTCACAATACATTGGGGAAACATGCAGAAATTAAAAAACAACATATCTAAGAACATAAAAGGGATCTTATACACAACAATTTATCAACTACACTAGTCATACACAGAAATAAATTCAACCACAATTTTTCATCTAAAAGATGCTATTGTTATCAATTTTATTGATAACAATAGCATCTTTTAGATGAAAAATTAAAGTAATTTAATCAGATAGAAAACCTTCGAGGGTGCCATTATCGAATTTTATTAAACTATAAATCTATATCGAAATGACATAAGAAAATGGGTAAATCCATTACCTCATGGTTTTCCAGATGTACATCACATACGTTCATCCCAAACTACAACAATCTGATCACAATTTAAAAAGTTTTCATGCATTAAAAAAATCTTGAACATTACACGCTTAATTTTGTATACTAGACTTTGAATTATGTCAATTTGTGACCCCCACATGTTTTGACTGATCTTCCAACCACCTGATGAATATTCATGAACGTTCTCAAATTTCAAATCCTCGATAAAACAATGACATCCTTGCCGTTGCATATAAGCACGTGCAACAAAATAAATCCTACATTTGCCGTGATGAAGCCCCTTAGAAGACTAAATGCACCGGCTAAGAATTGTTTTTTCTTTTGTCTTTATCTATCTATCTATCTATCTATCTATATATCTATCTATCTATATATATATATATATATATATATATATATATATATTATAAATTAATTGATTTAAAATATTTTTTCGCTACACAGTTCTAACCATGTTTCAAAATGGAAGCTAAAAGCCTCGAATTTAATTTTGTAATTAAATTAAAAACATTAGTTCCATTTCATCCTCAGGCGAATTTTTTTTCCTTCAGGATGAAATGGAACTAATGTCTTTAATTTAATTACAAAATTAAATTCGAGGCTTTTTAGCTTCCATTTTGAAACTTGGTTAGAACTGTGAAGCGAAAAAAACATATTTTAAATCAATTAATTTACAAATATTAATGCTCTGTAAATTTACATTGAGCACTATTTTTAAAAAATAAAATATCTATAAGAACACCGGATTATATATCTTACTGTTCTTTCTTCTATATATATATATATATATATATATATATATACTTTGTCCATTTTGTAATATATATATATATATATATATATATATATATATATATATATATTATGAAATGGACAAAGTTCGATAATTATTTTCAGACATTATTTATGTTTCTACGTTCTTTTTTTATAGATAAAAATATTTAAGTAAACGCTCTGTTTATAATAAACAGTATTAACATCATTTACCGGCCTGAATTTACTTAAATGTTTGTATCTATAAAAAGTACGTATAAACGTAAAAAATGTCTTAAAATAATTGTCGGACTTTGTCCATTTCATAATGTGTGACATCATTTGTTTACATTTAGATACCCATCGAGCAAATATGAATGTGGAGAATTATAGTCTAAATCAGTAAAATCGACATTGCTAACCAAAATGCTCATCTGTGGCTAAGTCGGTAAAACACATCAGGCTATATGACCGTTCCGTATAGGATACAGGTTCGATTCCTGTCGGAGACGCATATTTTCTATGAAAATTTCTCGGACATTCAAGTCGTTAATACTGTTTATTATAAACAGAGAATTTACTTAAATACTTGTATCTATGAAAAGAACGTATAAACATAAAAAATGTCTTAATATATATATGAAGTGAAAAGACTGTATTGAATCCAATGCTAGATCTGCAAAGAAAGTTGGTTTACTGTGTCTTGTGAGACATTTTTTTCTCTCCAGAATCTATCTCACATAGGTATGAGTCTACCATTCATCCATGCTTAGACTATTGATGCCACATCTTTTTTTTTTTCTTTTTTTTTTATCAAGGTGGCCTTGATAAAATCCAA